GCTCGACCATGGAAACCCATTCCATGAAGCTCTCTGCGCACTGTTCTTGAGCTAATCTGAAGGCCACATGAAGTTTGGAGGTCTGTAGTGATTGACTCTGCAGAAAGTTGGCGACCTCTTCGCACTATGCGCTTCAGCATCCGCTGACCCCGCTCCGTCAGTTTACGTGGCCTACCACTTCGTGGCTGAGTTGCTGTCGTTCCCAAACACTTCCATTTTCTTATAATACAGCTGACAGTTGACTGTGGAATATTTAGGAGCGAGGAAATTTCACGACTGGATTTGTTGCACAGGTGGCATCCTATCACAGTTCCACGCTGGAATTCACTGAGCTCCTGAGAGCGACCCATTCTTTCACAAATGTTTGTAAAAACAGTCTGCATGCCTAGGTGCTTGAATTTATACACCTGTGGCCATGGAAGTGATTGGAACACCTGATTCCAATAATTTGGATGGGTGAGCAAATACTTTTGGCAATATAGTGTAGGTGAATTTCTCCACTGTGAGATTAATAAAGTTTAATATATATTATTATTCAAAACTACCATCAGAACAAAGATCCTCATCTAGACATCTCCACCAGGATGAACATTTCCCCTCAAATCCTCCTTCCACCCTGATCCAATGCCACAGACTCGAAATCTGCTTTAGTTTGTGCTCAAAATGCTTGTCAATAGTGTAAATGATTCCCTTTCAAATTACGTTTTGCATCCTGCATACATCCTGCACGTGGGTTGAAAAAATACCTCAAAACTCTGCAATCCAAGTTTTACTTAATGAAAAAGTCGAGTATGTAAACACATCTTGACAGAATCAAGAATTAAGATTTGTTTTTCTTTTTTAATCCACAACTATGTATCATGAAACAGAAGAGGGGGACAACTCCAAGACCTTCCTAAAGTATCAAATGTTTCAAAGCATATGAGAGATGCGAGTACTGTGTTGGATTCCTACATAACTCTTTGGCATCCCATGTCAGTATGAGCAGGGATTCTGCTAAAAAAAGAAAAAAAAGAAAAACAAAACACCCCAAAACACAACAGTCAAGTTCACATTCAGGAAAGTCATTATGGACTCTTCTGGAAGTACAGAAACCCACAACAGAAGTGAATAGATTAAAGAGATAAAATCCATCTGTCTTTTGATTTATGGTGATGAGATCAAACAGAGTCAGTGAGGAGCTGAAAAGAATCCTGACTTAAGAAGAATGTTCCAAATATAACCATCCAAGATATGGGAATACATCGGAAAATTCTAACCAGAGGGGCGACAGTCTATGAGGGAGCCTGTCAACCAGAGAGTCAAACTCCACTTTGGACAAACTCATTTAGTTCCCACATGAAAGAGGTTGAAAGCTTTTAAGATGATTAAAAACCAAGGATGTTAACATGGCTATTTCATTGTCATGATTCTGTGAATGGAAGTGAACTTAAAAAAATAACACGTCGAGAACTTCTCACCCCACAAGCTTACATTGGACAAACAAAAAAACAGAACAGGAACATTGTGTTGAACTGCTGCTTTATAAATACAGATGGCAGCAATTAAAGACTTAAAGTTCTACTAAACTTTAAATCATTAAAAAATCTGACATCCAGATGAACTAGAGTTAAGTCTGCATCCAAAAAGCTGGTTGTGTTTACAGCTAGTTGTGGATTTACAGAATTAGCATTAAGAATATAAACAACTTTGAACTGTGTAAGGATCAGAAACCATTTTTAGAATAAATCAATACAGATCAATCAGAGCTATAATGAACAACATTATTGCAGCTGTCAGCTTTATGTTGTAGTGCTTAAACCAGTTGGGCTTGGGTGTGGCTCGAAAGAATGTTAAATCAAATGCTAGCATGGATGAAGCATTGCCCCGATTCAACTAAGTTTATTTTATTTTGAAAAGATTTATTTGATTTTAAAGCTCAATACAGCATGTTGGGGGCTGCATTAAAACACAGTTTTTTTCAGTTTGTATTTTTAACATATTTTTACATCATTTTAAATCATTTAACATCTTTTTTTTTATCTAAAAGTGTCAGGTTGTTGGAATTTAGTTGAGGACCCAAATGCAGAGATAAATTCTTGGTGATTTAATGAGATGTAGATGGCAACAGAAACACAAATATATATAATAAAAACTGCAAGATGCCAAGGAGAAACACACATGAGGAGTGAAGCTATGAAAAGAAACCAGCACTGGTGAACTGCTGAGGAGGATTATATATGGGAGACAAAAGCAAGTGTTGGGTAATCAGTTAATTGGGAGCAGGTGTGGACAGAAGCAGCTAGAAAGGAGCCAAGGGGGAAAGGAAACTGGCACAAGGGGGCAACAGAGAGTAACACAAAAACACAACACTGCCAGAAAACAACTACAAAGACACAAAATTACAGTAAAACCAAAAAATTTATAAGGAACCTAAACAAAGGGCAGAACCCTGACAAAAATTCACATTTAATATATTTTTTTATCCGAGCAAACTGAATTCCAGTTGCCATAACTCAGAACGTTTTCCTTATCTGTATCACCTGTTAAGGAACATAAAATTCTGTTTGAAATCTATCATACTCATTATTTGTTTCAAATGTAAAGCAACAGAAAGCTAGAACTCTAAATGTGACCGATGCCATGCTTATTGCCCATTTCAACTGTAAATAAATTAGGTGATTCAGATTTTTTAAACACTGGCAACCTGTCTAGTGTGTACCCCGCCTCTCGTCAGAGACAGCTGGAGATAGGACCCAGCACCCCTGGCATTCGCACTTGGGATAAGAAAATTGATGGATGGATGGATGGATGGATGGATGGATGGATGGATGGATGGATGGATATCTTAAACAAATCATATTAATGAAGTAATTCATAGTGATTTAGTTTGCTCAAAAGCACTGCTAGACTTATCATTAGACAACTGAGTCTCATCTGTCTTGTAAGGCCTGTAGGCAGCTCCCATGGATGTTTGCATGTTTTCTATGGGAGGAAAACTTCTGCATTCAACCAGTAACTAACCAGAGGAGGAAATGGAATAACTCGAATGGAGCACCAGGTAAAGTCTGTTAGGGAGTTTCTATAAAACAAGGGAACACAGATTCCCATCTGACCCTGAATAGGAATCCCATTGGTCCTTTTACACTATGGCTAAGTTTAGACAGGACCTGCAGGATGTTAAGCCCTAGAGCACAAACTTCATTGCTCTCTAGGACATCAGTGATATAGGATGACAACCGGTGGACATTTCCATTCCTCATCCTAAAAGCGCATCACTGAATGAACAGCATCCTGATTTATAGGGGTATGTAATTCAAGGCAGCCTGCATCATTCATATTAAACCAGGAAATTGTCATTACTCACTTGACCAACCTGAAAGATAGTGTGTGGTATAATACTTTTAATTTATTCTTTACTTCTTTATCTATGCACATGCTTTTCCCCTCTTTTGCTCTCATGTTCATCATCAGTCTCTCTTTCTCTACAAGGCTGACCTTGACTTTTGCACTACTTACAGTATCACAGTGGGGTTGAGATCATGTGTGTGTCCAGTTAAATGCCAGTGCATCCAAATACAGTTACACTACAGCTGTTGGTGAGAGCAGAGCCTTGCTTCTTTAAATTGCCCTCAGCATGCTGTATGCTTTAAATATCACTAAAGAATGTGTTTTCCTTCGTTTCATATTAAATACTCTGTATTTAATGCAACAATATCCATTTCTCATTTGTTACTATTTAAAAAAATAATAGATACTGCTTCAGAGTCTTAGCTAATCTTCAAAGAGGACATGTTATGCAGAATTTACTGTACTTAGTTTTCCTACTTCAGTTTGGATCACTACTGCTTTTACAAACAGTCCAAAGAATAAACAAAAACAAAACGTCCAGTCAGATTTTTGCAATACGTTTATTTTGTATGGGAAATCAATTCAAAAATCAGTTTGCACCGGCCCTCCCGTAGCAACCCCTGCTGATCCCAACCCCAAAACTCACAACCAAGCAAAAAGAAATCTGTAAAATACATGCAAAAATATAACACCTGACTTATATCATCTTACAAAATAATTTAGAATACGTAAATAAACAGATAGAAAATTTAGGAATCTTGAGCAATCCATTTTATGATCTCTTTATGATAGACTTCGAAAATATTCACCAATACAAACTGTCTGTCATTAAGGCTGATTAAAGGCCTTCAAAGAAGGTCGAAATTATTGCCTTCATATAAATATATATAGTAATTTTTACAGTGTTGAAATAACACTTTAAGAGTTAAATTTAAATCACAAATTAAAAAGTGTAATTTAAAAAAAATAGAATATTTGTTCATTTAGAAATCTTATGTACGATTGTTATCTTTCTTGATAAACAACTTCAGGTCACTGGTTACATAATTTATTTTCCCCCCACTGAACACATCCCTGGTTTAAATATTGCTTGGAGATTTTTATCAGTTCACATGAACTGTTCTTTTTCTGGGGTAGAATCATTATATAACCACGATCAGCCTTTGCAAAACAGCCTGCATGCATGCATGTGTAGATGTGCTGTAAATAGATTTCTTTTGCAAACGTCCTTACGGTGACCTATAACAGACTGTTGGTGTATTAATAACTCCACATGCAATGTTTACCACATATATCACTGTGTGTGCACCTCAACACCCAACACCCCTCAAACACAACCTACTCTCTGTTTGTGCTTGTCGACACACTTTAATGTCAAAGTAGGTCATATTTTTAAGGAGTGCCTTGTAGCCAGGTGTTGCAAGAGCACACCCAAACAAATTGATTTGGCTTGGCTAAATATCCTGAGCATGTAACACCTATTTCCCTACGTAACATCAAAACCAGTTTTTATGACAAAACGGATCAAGGAAAAGTTTTGTTGTGTTGATTTCCATTCTTCTTGTTATGAATCCAGTTTTTGTGGGTTGTTTGTGTGTTTCTTCTCTCTCCACCACCAGGTGGTGCCCTGTCCTCGTTGGGCCTCCCTGCACACCTGTGGCTCGTTGGTTCATTACTGGAGGAGTATTTGAGCAGTGGGCTGTCACTACCTCGAGGCCAGTGTGTTTTGGGTACTCTAGCCAAGCTGAGATTAGCAGAGTCTAACCTAGCTTTGTTTCTCTGAGTTGAATGTGTTTTTGTCTTTTCTCTTCGACAGGAAGCTTTCCTGTGAAAACTGAATGCCTGGACCATCTCCCTATGGAAGGAATTACTGATAATGCACTGAGCAGGGGAAAACCTCCACATGATCCGTTCAAGTTCCCATCGGAAATCCAAGTGACAGTCCGCTCCATTACTCCTCTGGGTCCAACAAATGTCTACCTGGCCGCTCTCCAATGAGTTCCCCCCTTCTCTGGATTACCCCCACATTGACTGGATTCAAGGATTGACAAGAGCCCCCTCAAACGTGAGTCCCTCTCCAGCATTATTCAAGCCGCAGTAAAATTTCCTACGGTCCCTGAACTGATCTCTGTGATCTCCCCTTCTGACTTTCCAGTTCCGGTTCACCAGTCCACTGAGTTCCAGATCCTACTTCTGTTTACATTACATCAAATAAACCTGTTAAACTTTTCTCCATGTTCTCTGAGTGGTTTCTCTGCATGTGGGTCAGATTCCTTAAACCGATCATGACACTTCTTTCTACCTATAATTAGAATATATAATTCTATAATTTAGACCACCTTTTTTAATTGGGCTGAAATAAAACTAAAATACGCAATTTTAAAGTTTTCATGCTTTTAACACACTTGATGCAAATTAACTGTCATCCTCAAAAATACATGCTAAGGACAGTTTTGTTTTTACAAGACGTTCAATACTAAAGAAGTGACACTTAAGAACATGTATGGGGCTGTTTGGGACGTGGTTTGATAGGTACAGAGGTGGGTAGTAACTAGTTGTATTTACTCAGTTACATTCACTTAAGTAGCTTTTGGAAAAAAATACTTTGAGGAGTACTTTTACAGAATTGTACTTTTTAACTTTTACCTGAGTGAAATTTCTGGCTTCTCTGTTGTGAGTGAATTCACTTAGTGAAAATAAGCTTGTTTTAAACAAATATGCAGCATTGAAAGTACAAACTTTTGGAAGCACAGACAGAGGCAATTTTTGCAAAAATACAGATTTATTTTACATCCGTAGAGAGAAAAGCTCTGAGTGGGGAAATCCCAGCACACACATTTTTACCTTACAAAATCTCAACACACACTTTCTCCCATGGAACCATCCCAGCCCCTGCATAAAGAACTTTCTCACACTTGCACATAGAAGCAAAACAACTTCAGTTGATCAAGGACATTCCCTGTTAAGTTAATATATCTTTCACTGGCCAAAAACTGTCTTCTGCTCACAGCATGAGGGAGCCTTAAGCACCTAAGAGGACATGTTATCTATATTTCACCCTTGTCTAGAGTAAGGAGGCAACTGTTTTCTGTCACCCCTACTTTAAACATCGCAGCCTAGAGGCTGGTACACGATTTGTCTAAACTCACTCCTATTAGGCCAAGAAAAGGCACAATCTAAATATTTCATCTAACAAATAGGCCGAGGAAAATCATGCTTTCACAAAAGACACACTTTCTTCCCTTTTTACCCAAAGCTTAATGGTCAAATGTTATTCCATTTCTATTACAGCCTTCTCTTTTTGAAAATAAATACATAAATAAATGGGTATGTTCCACTAAATGCTGATTAGCTGTTTTAAGCTATATTTATCTGTCATATTTACATGCTTCTGTCTTCCTGAGGCAGTCTAACCAGATTCTCCAAAGGTCTCAAAAATCCAAGGGATTTCACACAATGTCAATTATTGCAACTAAGTCCTAAACTGGATTAGACCTTAAATCAGATCTGCTAAGCACTGACTACATTTAAATGCATCGTGAAGACTGCCCTGTGAATAACCCTGCTTTGCTATCTACTTTTTTATTGTTTTATTCATTTACTACTCACAAAAAGGTCCTGTGTTAAAACTTAATTTTGCTAGTTAAATTGAGACCTACATGAAAGAATGTGACCCTGACAAACTGCAACATAATTTTTGAAGTGTGTGTTTATGTGAATAACTTTTAATTTTACTCATTTACACAAATGGTACAAAGTGAGCTCTCTAGTGAGTGAAAAAGATGACATTTCCATCCATCTTCCATGGTTAATTTAGGATGTTTTGCTATTGTGTTTGCAGCATATTAGGGTGCTGGGTAAAGCATTAGGTAGCTTTATGGTGTGTGTTTGCAATAACATTGAATCCATTCTGTGGGACCAGAGTGTCCTGACAATAAGGTATTTACAGCAGGACTTTTTACATAGGGTCATTTCAAGGCAGCCTCATCACATCTGTAACACTGAGGAGTGGGCTCCAGTTCTTTGCTAAGATGCAGATTGCTTTGATTAAGACCAATGATCTTGTTTTAACCAAAAGGATTCTGTGATTAACAATCCCCACTCTCCAAGTCAAAAAACATTAATCCACCTTAGGGCTCTGGCACAAAGAAATCAGTGTGGAATGAGTTTCAATTACTTTGTAGGATCCCTTAAGGTGAAGATGTGCACACACCTCCAAATCGTGCACAGACTTGTTTGTGCTGGTTGCCAGGAGACCATAGCTGTATTTTTAGGCTGCAAAAATGATGCAGCATGTATCCTTTTGGTTAAAGGAAACCCCTTGCGTGGTGTTTAGTGTCAATGACAATATTGAGGAAAAGTGTAAAGTATCTCATTGAGTTTATTAGATTTTTACTAATAATCCTTAAGCATGTCAACTAAGGAAAAAGAAACAAATTTCAAATTCAAAGTCTTATCATGGTTAAATTACAGTAACTACTGTTTATACAGAAAGACAATAGAATATGTGCGGGATTCCTTGTGTACAGAGCACTCTAGATTGCTTTAATGATTAAGTTTGGTGCCACGTGCTTGGAAACTTCTTTAACTCCTTGATTGAGTGGTGTGGTTGATTTTTTTAGTTTAAAGCACTTTGTTTCTTGTTCAGTAAGTTTGAAATCGTTTTTTAGAATGAATTCGCTAGTTTGCTTTTAGTTACTATTTTTTTTAAAGTGCTTATTTTTAGCTTTTTTATTAGTTGTTGTACTAGTTTTACCATACTTTAGTTGATTTTGTTGCAGGATTCAAAAATGTCAGAGTGGCTTAAGTTTACATTTGTTGTGAATTGGCGCTATATAGATAAACAGAATTTAATTTAATTTTTGTTAATGAAACTGTGTGCATATAACTGATTGAAAAATCAACAAAATATATATTTATTAAACACTGGTTTAATCACAGCTGAATATAGCAGTGTCCTTTAGGCAAAAAGTACAGTGTTCTGTTATTTTGAAAGTCTGAAAACCATTGGTATGTAATTTAGGTATTGTAATTGCAATTTTTGAATGTTTTAGTTGGTTTTATAAACACACAGTACAACTTTAGTTAGTTAGTTCTTTTCCTTTTAATTAGACTTTTTATTTTATTTTAGTTAAAAAGGTTTTCTTTGTTTCAGTTTTTTTTTAATGGCTTTAGTTAGCTTTAAGTCAATTCAATTCAGTTTATTTCTATTGCACCAATTCAGAACACATATCATCTCTAGACACTTTGCAGAGACAATTCAACCAGATCATACAGTCAGAATGTTTCAAAGTTTTATATATATTAAGAAAACCAGCTGATGGCATCGACTCACTGACTCGACAACAATCATTACCACAAAGCTTTGAGCGAAGAGGAACTCCGACTACCATGTCAGAGGATGAAGTGAACACATAGGGCTGGATTTATCAAGATCCAATTTTGCGTGCAGTAATTTGCGCTCGCAAACTGGAATTTTGCGCGAGGGGCTGAACCATGGTTTGCGGGTGATTTAACAAGAGCGATTGCGTAACGGGTGGCAGGTGCAAAACTGTTGGAGACGCCCTATTTAAATGAGGGTTTTGCGCGTTTTGTGGTTTGCGGCAAAGTAGTTTGTAGTTTGTACAGTGACACCCCCAACCCCTCCAAAAAAAAAAATAAAATAAAATAAAATAAAATAAAATATATATATATATATATATATATATATATATATATATATATATATATATATATATATATATATATATATATATATATATATATATATATATATATATATATATAAATAAACTTTGGCAACCTTTATGCCTCAAGAGGTGGTATGTCGCTGACTGGTAGGGTTGGGAATTGAAAAGATTTTCACGATTCCGATTCCCTTTTAGATTCTATGAAACGATTCGATTCTTTATCGATTCTTTTTTCGATTCCAATTTGGGGGGAAAAGGAGAACAAACAGTTTGATTATCAGCATCAACTTTGTTTACTTAACTATTGCACAATGTTACAAACTCAACAAGATCAAGATGTCCACAGGAAATGTGAAACTGGAGTAACATCTGTGTTTAAATGAAAAATGAATACAAGAACAAACTTAATAACCAACAATGTCTAATAACAAATGATTGGATAATAACCTATTTTAAATAACAAAAAATACTAATTATAAAACAGTAGTAGGGAAAATTAACAGTTCTTTTGCAGAAAGACGAGCATATCTGCTTTTTCTGGAAGGATACAGGATCTTTCAGTGCTTAAGGTGTCTCCAGCCGTGGAGAACACCCTCTCAGATGGGGTGGAGGAAGCCTGCACACAGAGGTAGTTTTCAGCCAGTCCAGATTGCAAGGGCAGCGTATCTTGCTTGTTCCACCACCACAGTGTGGCGCTATCCCTGCAGGGGATGGAGGGCAAGCTTTTATAGAGCTGGATTTCCTGATCTACCCTCTGGGCTAAGGAAAGACGGGGCTTTGATTCACAAAGTGACCACAGCTCGTTGTCTTCCTCCTCGAATAGTTCTTCCAACTTGCGTAACTTGCGTAACTTACGTAACTTGCGTAAAAAACGTGACGTAAGTCGTGCTCCCCAGAGCCGACGCTCTAGGCTCTGTTGCTGCGGGAATCGAAAAAAGAATCGTTCAGCGAGCTGCCAAACGATGCCATGGAATCGGAAAATACGGAACCGGTTCTGAACAGGAACCGGTTTTCGATTCCCATCCCTACTGACTGGATAAGATGACTGCGCATACGCATCCACGCAGCATTGGCATGTTGCTCCACAGGCGCAGGGGTTCTCCGATAGGGCGTCAGGGCGACATGGCATTTAGAACGTCGGACAGCACTTCTGAAAAACGAGATTGGGAGATCCCAGATGCAAAAAAGTGCAATGTTGCAAGGAGTTTTGTGATATCTGGTATTGCGTGGGTCCTCCTTGTGGCTGGCTCCAAATCCATTCGGAGTTCCCCCAACAGCTCCAAAATGGCAATGCTGGATAAACGATATGTTTTGATGATCGTTTCCTCGTTCATTCCAAAAATATTCACACAGAGTGAAAAAATGCGTTCTCTGCGTCTCCTTGCTTCATTTCGATGTCTCCTTTTTGCGACAATAACCGCTGCCATGTGTGCGCAATTACGCATACAGACCATTTGCATATTCTTTTGAAACATGTTAAATATAGAGTCAGATACCGTTAGCAAAATTGCTTTCAGGTTTGATAAATCACTTTGCGAGT